ATAGGGCACCAGCCATCGAACACCACCCACATTGCACGAGGGTAAGAACGAGCAATGGCGTCCACTGAAGGCATCATGGTGCACCGGCGGTAGAGTACTGCCGACAGACCACCAGGGGAAGAGCGAGAGCTCGCGACCAATGAAAGCGTCACAGTGCACCTTTCACAGAGTACCACCGAGAAGACACCCAAGGCACGAACAAGCATGCGCGACAATTGAAGGTATTATAGTGCACCAGCCACAGAGCACCGCCCACAGGGCAGTAGAGCATGAATGAGTCATCGCGACCATCGAATGCATCACAGGGCTTCGTACATGGAGCACCCACCGTAGGACGCCAGGTCAGTATCTCAAACTCGCGAATCTCAAGGGCATCATAGGGCACCAGCGGTAGCGCACGACCCATAGAGCACCAGGGCACGAATGAGCAATTGCGACCATTCTGTCGAATTCCTTACAGTCCAAGTAGGCCACCCGTAGTGCAAGCACTGTCTTGGGAATCAGATGTAAAAGATAATGAGTTGCGTCAAGGCCTCCGTTGTCTGGACGGGTATAGGAAAATCGCGACGGCTCAGGAATGTCTTAGAATACCATGGTTGGCCGATGCCGGGGTGAATACTAAATTCCATAGTATTTAGTGAGCTATATCGATCGGACACATGCTGAACACATGCAGAACGCGTCCAGGACATGTATCGAAACTACGATGCGAAGCATCCCGAATATATGCCGAGCATATTTCGAAAGCAAGCCGAAATACGAGAAGGCAAACGGTTTGATAGAGATCTTTCTGCCGCTGCTGGCATGAGAGGGGGGTTCAACCCCCCCCAAAACCGGGGGGGGTTCCAGAACACCCCCTCCTCGCTCTGGGGAAAATGAGTGGGGGGGGGTCCAGACCCCCCTCAGGAAAAATAGTGGAGTGTTCAGAATCCCCCCCTCTAGGGAGAATTTGCGGGGGGGTCTGGACCCCCCCCTGGAAAATCATTGGAGGGTCCACAATCCCCCCCCCCAGGTGACGACGACGACAACGACGACGATGACGCCGACGATGACGACGACGATGACGACGACTCCGACGACGATGACGACGCCGCCGACGACGCCGACGACGACGACGCCGACGCCGGCGCCGACGCCGATGCCGACGCCGACGCCGACGCCGACGCCGCCGGCGGCGACGGCGACGGCGATGTCGACCGCGACGACGATGGCGGCGACGTCGACGACGACGAAGACGACGACGCACGATGCACGACGCACGACGACGACGCACGACCCACGATGACGACGATGCTGGCGCCGACGCCGACTCCGACGCCGACACCGACGCCGCCGACAACGGCGGCGGCGACGCCGACGACGACGATGTCGCCGACGACGATGACGACGACCTCGACGACGACGATGACGACGCACGACGCGCGACGCGCGACGCACGATGCACGATGCACGACGACGCCGGCGCCGACACCGACACCGACGCCGACGACGACGACGACGCTGGGCGACGATGACCACGCCGCCGAATCCGACGAAGGCGACGACGACGACGCTGGCCTATTGAAGACGGCGACGCCAACGCCGACGCAGCCGACGGCGACGGCGATGGTGCTGTCGACGACGATGACGATGCCAACGACGACGACGACAGAGACGACGACGACGATTCCAACGACGACGACAGCGACGCCGACGACGACGACGCCGACGCGTGACGCACGACGCACGACGCACGACGCACGACCCACGACGACGACGATGACCCCGACGCCGACGCCGGCGCCGACGCCGCCGACCTCGGAGGTGGCGACGCCGAAGACGATGCCGACGACGATTTCGATGACGACGACCCTGACGACGATGATGACGGCGACGACGACGCACGACGCCCGACGCACGACGCGCGACGCTCGACGACGCTAGCGACGACGAGGACGCCGACGACGACGCCGACGACGACGGCGATGACGCCGCCGCCGAAGACGATTCCGCCGACGACGCCGACGCCGACGCCGACGGCGACGGCGACGGCGACAGTGACAACGACGACGATGATGACAACGCAGACGACAAGGACGCCGCCTACGCCGACGACGACGCCGACGCCGCCAACGACGACGCTGCCGATGACGACGACGCTGCTGACGTCGACGACGTCGACGACGCCGACGACGACGCCGACGATGACGACGAAGACGATGACGACGACCACGACGAGGAGCAGAGTAGAGTAGGCGTATAATATAATGACATGAGAGTAGAGTAGACGGTAGAGTGGAGTCGAGTAGAGTAGGTTGGGATACGGTTGGGTAAGTCATGCAGAGTAGGGAAGGGTAGAGTAGAGTAGGGAGGTGTATAGCACCCGAGTAGGGAAGAAGTCGATTAGTGAAGAGTAGACGGGTGGAGCAGAACATACATGTAGTGGAGCAGAGCAGGAACTTGAAGTGATAGAGGAAGCGTATAGTAGTATTGGAGTGGAGTAGGACCAATGTTGAGGAGCGTAGAGTATGTTGGCGAACGGTCTGGTAGAGCAGGGTAGAGTAGAGTATGGCAGAGTAGAGTAGAGTAGAGCATAGTCGAGTGTAGTAGAGTACAGTCGAGTAGAGAAGAGGTAGAGTCAAGTATGATAGAGTAGAGGAGAGCAGAGTCGAGTAGAGAAGGGGTAAAGTAAAATAGGGTACGAGCAACGTGGAGTAGAGTGCGTAGAGTATGTTAGGGTGCGGTAGGGTAGAGTACAGAAGGTAGAGTATAGTAGGGCAATCAGAGTCGATAAGAGAAGAGCAGATGGGTAGAGTAGAGCAGGAATCCAGTAGAGCAGAGCTGATTATAGTATAGTATTAGTAGAGCAGAGTAAGAACAAAGCCGATTCTAGTAGAGCATGTTAGGGTACGGTCGGGTAGGGTAGGGTAGAGCAGATTAGGTCAGAACAGAGTAGAGTAGAGCGGAGGAGGGTAGAGTAGAGTAGGTAGTGAGTAGAGTAGAGCAGAGTAGAGTAGAGTAAGAGTAAAGTGGAGTAGAGTAGAGTATGTTAGGGCACGGTCGGGTAGAGTAGTGTTGAGTAGAGTAGGTCAAAACAGAGTAGAGTAGAGAGGAGTAGAGTAGAGTAGAGCAGATAACGAGAAGAGTAGAGTAGAGTGTAATGGAGTGGAGTAGAGTAGAGGAAACATCGAGAAGAGTAGGGCAGAGCAGCGCAGAGAGCAGGAGGGCCCCAGCAGGATACCCAGAGAGCTAGACGAGCCCCAGCAGCATTCTATCAGAGCGGGCGCCTGGCACGGGGCGTTGGCGACAGGTGCGCCGCCGTCGCTGAAGCCGTCGCCGCCGCCGTTACCGTCGCCGTCGCCGTCGCCGTCGCCGTCGCCGCCGTCGTCGTCGCTGTCGTCGTCGTCGTCGCCGTCGCCGTCGCCGTCGCCGTCGCCGTCGCCGTCGCCGTGGCCGTGGCCGTGGCCGTGGCTGCGGCCGTGGCCGTGGCCGTGGCCGTCGCCGTCTCCGTCGCGGTGGTCGCGGTCGTCGTCGTCGTCGTCGTCGTCGTCGTCGTCGTCGTCGTCGTCGTCGTCGTCGTCATCGTCGTTGGGGGGTGGGGTGGGGGCGGTTGTGGATCCCCTTAATGGTTTTTCGGGGGGAGGTCTGGACCCCCTATAATTTTTTTTTTGGGGGGGTTGCTGGACCCCCCCCTCAGTTATCCCCTGGGGGGGGGGGTCCAGACACCCCTCACTAGTCTTTCCGTGTGGGGGGGGGGCAGTTCCGGACCTCCTAGGTTCTCCCCGGGGGGTGACAGGGTTTGCAGAGGGGCTTGGGAGGGTGGCGGGGTCCCCTGGTTTGTGACCCTCCCCTTGCGTTTTTTTCTGGGGGTGGAGGGGCCCCCTGTTTTCTGACTCCCCCTTAAGGCAACAAGGCAAAATTTTCGGGCCAGCTGCGGTGGAATCGCTCCCTCAACGGTTTCGATAACAATGGTTACTGGAGCAGGCTGGTCTCTGATCGACGTCCTCCAAGAATGCCAGAGCTACGCTCTAATAATTGACATGAGCACCGGACAGTTGGCAACTCTCAGTGTCAAACATTATCTTCCAAGCATTCTGATGATGAAGGATGAAGCAGGGAGAACGGAGCATGGGATTGATCATGATGATGACGATGATGCTGATGATGATGCTGATGCTGATGCTGATGATGACGATGATGCTGATGATGCTGATGATTATGATGATGATGCTGATGCTGATGCTGATGCTGCTGATGATGATGATGATGATGATGATGCTGCTGCTGCTGCTGCTGATGATGATGAGGAGGAGGAGGAGGAGGAGGAGGAGGAGGAGGAGGAGAGATGTAGAGGGAGGAAGGAGGAGAGGAGGAGGAGGAGGAGGAGAGAGGAAGGAGAGGAGGAGGAGGAGGAGGAGGAGGAGGATGACGGGGAGAATTACGACGACGGCAGTCCCTGGATGCCTCCCGGGGGTCCAGATTTCCATCCCAGATCGTTTCCTGGTGGCCCTGGGCCCCCGAAGCGGCACCCAGATGCCGAAGATGGCGACCGGCCTTCCCGAACCTCCTCCCTTGAGATTGAGATCGGGCGTGGCGAGCAGAGTGCAGCACAGAGCCCTTGGACCCCACCCTTTCTGTGGCATCCTTCCCGCCGGATCGATCCGTGATGGCCCTGGGGCCCGACTCTCGGCAAGAGTGGCTGGTGCGGGCAGATTGCGACGCCAAGGTCTCAGGGTCGGGGCGTCGTGAGGAGGGGAGAAACACACACAGACACAATGAATCGTCGACTCCCAGGAAAATATGGGAAAATATGGGAAGTGGGGGGGAAGACAAACACCCATGAAATACAGGAAAATATGTGGAATCCTGTTATTTGTGTGTTTTTATTTGTGTGTCCCAGGGCCCCTTCACGTCGATCCTCAGCGACGGCGGCGGCTGCGGAGGAGGCCGGAGGTGGAGGAGGCTCCAGGCGGCTGCGGGGGAGATCCGGGGGTGTCCGCGCACGCCGCCCGCTTGCCGAGGCCGAGTACGACCAGGCGACGAAAGACATCGAGATCGAGACTACCACGAAGAACCAGGACGTCAAGTACAAGGTGAAGGCCCTTTGGTGGATGGGGCCCGAGGATCAGTGATCGAGGTTCTGGGTCGACTTGGCTGTTGTCGTCGTCGTCGTCGTCGTCGTCGTTTCGGTGTTTCTGCAGGTCCCCGTCGCCGTGGCTGGACGCGGCTTGACCGGAGTTTCGGGAATCCAGAGCTGAGGGTGTTGAGAAACGTCGGGATTTTTTTTGCGAGGCCCCCCGAGGTTTTCGGAGGTCTCCACGGGCGTCTCTGGAGACCCCGGGGGACGTTTCGTAAGCCTTTCCAGATCTTTGGCGATGGTTCAAATCGACTACGCATGAGAGTGACCCTTCGCCAGGGTGACCTTTGGTGCGGGCCCACTGGCAGTGGCGTCTTGCTTGCTTAGGTTCCCCCCCCCGGCCCCCCCAAAGTGGCACACCAAAGGTCACTCTTAATTGCTCAGGGTCACTCGTGCGTGTAGCCGATCAAAGGCGAACTCCGAACTCCAGGCCGTTCAAATCGGGTCCAAGTAGATAAGACTCGGAGGATCGCGCCGCACCGTCGATGCATCGGCGATGCGGCTCGATGTGGAGCCAGGGTTTCTCCACGCCGGCGGCGCCGATGCATCGCCGACGTCGCCGATGCATCGCCGATGTATCGGCAATGCACTGGCGATGCGGCGCGATCCTCCGACCCTACGTGCTCGGACCTCGCTTGTTGGTGGCGCCCACTCGGGAGCGGTGCGATGGGGGCGGTCTGCTAAGACGGCGGCGGGGCTTCTTCGAAGGTAGGGGGGCCTTCTCAGAAGGGCCTGGCGGCTTATGCCAACTTCGGGAGGCCTCCGCGAGCCCCGCCCCCGCCGCCCAGCGATCTGGATCGGCAGGGGCTCACCGGTGGAGGGGGGCTCGCTTCGCCCGCGCCCGCTCGCAGTCTCGGGGCCCCCCGCCGGCGCCCTGTGGCCCCTGCGGGTTTGGACCAGCAGGGGCAGGGCTCACGCGCGGCTGCCGAAGTGGGGCAGCGAGCGAGGAGGGCGGTGCCTATCACCCAGGTGTGCGCGGCACCCGAGCAGCTCTCGCAGTAATGGTAGGGCGCTAGGTGTGCACGGTACCAACCGACTCTGAGAGAACCAATCTCAGCGCCTCCTCCTCCTTCTTAATTCAGTGTCTCGCTGCGGCTTTCGTGCTTCGGTGCCCTCGGGAGAAGGAGGAGGAGGAGGAGGAGGAGGAGGAGGAGGAGGAGGAGGGCGAGGGCGAGGGGGAGGGCGAGGGCGAGGGGGAGGAGGACGAGGAGGATCGATGATCCTTTCTTTTGAGCGTTTTGGATCCCTCTTTGGGCCGGGGGCTTCTGGGGGCATCGGAGGTCCGCAGGGACCTCTGAGCACCTACGAGGTACGAGGAGCTCCGGGGACCCTCTGCAGACCTCTGGCGACCCGAAGGAGTCAGACGACGGAGTTTCGTTGGCCCTGGAGGCTGTCTTGAGGCTCTCTGGGGCCATAGCCGAACACGACCCACGATGAAAAGCGGCGCCCCGGCTCTCGAAGCCTGGGCCCGTGCGGTCATTCTCGACGCGGGCCCCCTGCCTGGTCGAGCCTGCAGGACCGAGGGCTGGGGGCGCAGTTGTCCTGGCGCCAACATCGCAGACCGGATTTCGATCGGAAAACTATAGGATCGACCCGTAATTGTCCTGGATACTTTCGTTCCGGATTTCGAGATGAATTCCGTGCGTTTTTTTTGGGCCAGGGATGAAGGTTAACACAGACTCCACGCGAAATTCACGTCGTTTTCCACTGGCCGCTTCGGGTTTTTGCATTGACGGAAATCCATGCAGTAATCCGCTGCAGCACGTCTGCAAGGTTGGCGCAGTGAGAAGTTGTTTGGTCCTTCATGTGAGCCTCAGAGGTCCCCAGGACTCCTTGCGATTCTGGACGACATATGGACGACATCCGGAAGTTGGACGACGTCCAAATCACGCCTATGATGGGGCCGCGGAGGCCCACAGAGGCTCCCGTGAAGGCTCACCGAGGCGAAGACTCGTGCGGTGGCGCCATCCTCTGAGCGGGCGCGAGGCGGAGTGTGTGGGGCGGGGAGCCAGCATCACCCAAACATACTCCTATCGCGTGTGCGGTGGGCCCCCCCCCCGCCCAGGCTTGGCCGCCTGCGTAGCCACACATCTAAGAGGCTTGCACCACGTCGCCGACCCCAGACGAGGAAAGGTGCGGCTTCCGATTTCGTCCGTGTTGGTTGCCACCTCCCGTCGTGCTGCCTGTGTGTCGTTGTTGCCGATTCGTCCTCGTCTTCCTCCGCGTCTGTTGCGGGGCTTCTTGGGGGCCTCTTGGAGGCCTGAGGGGCCGCCTCTTGTCAGGCTCCGAGGGGCTTTTCGGGGCCCTCGGGGGGCCTCTCGGGACCAGGCTGGGGGGTGTTGAGGGCCATCTTGAGGGGGAGGGTTCCTGGGGTCCCTGTGGGTTCCCCCTCTTGGGCCTCTCCTGTCCTCTTGGGACCTCTTGAAGGTTTTTGGGCCGTCTTGGTGGCCTCCAGGGCCCCTGGGCCGTCTTTGGGCCCTCTTGGGCAGTCTCTGGGCCCCACTGGGAGCCTCTTGGGCCGTCTTGGGCCGTCCGGGGGCCCTCTCACGCCGTTTTGAGCTTGCAGACGCCCGAAAAGGCGAGAAGGCGAAGCTCACTCAAAACCTAGGAAACTCAAAGGTTTCTGCCCCTTGATGCTCTCTCGGGAGTCCTCTTGGGGCCCTCTTTCGGCGTGTTGGGCCGTCTTGAGGCTGTCGTGGGTGTTCTTGCGTCATCGCCGGCGCACTGGAGGCCTCGAGCCGTCTTAGAAATCATTTGGGGCATCTTGGCGGCCACGGAGGCTCGATTTCAAGGTTCCGAGGGCCCCGGAGGCGCGTTGGGACGATCGGGCCGCCCCATCCTCCCCCCTCCGTCCTCTCTTCTCCCTTCTCTCCTCCTCCCCCTGTCCTCGTCCCTCGTCCTCCTTCTCCTCCTCCCCCTCCTCCTCCCCCCATCCTCCTCCACCTCCCCCTCTCCTCGTCCTCTTCCTCCGCCTCTCCCCCTCCTCCTCCTCCTCCTCCTCCTCCTCCGCCTCCTCCTCCTCCTGCCCGCTGCCGCTCTTCCCCCCGCCTCTCCCTCCCTCCTCGCTCCCTCCTCCCGTCCCCCTTCCCCTCCCCATCCCTCCCCTTCCTCCCTCCCCCCCTCCGCTCCCCCCCTCTCTCCCACCCTCCCCCTCGCCCTCCGCCAGCTGCTCCCTCCTCCCCTCGTCCTGCGCCTCCGCCCTCCTCTGCGGAGCGGCCTCGGCCCTCGGTGTCTCCCCCCCCTCTCGCCGACTGCAGCCGTCTCACTGCGGGCAAGACAGCTTCCTGGAGGCAGCACACTTCCTCCGCTTCCTCCCCCTTTCTCTCGCGCAGGCTGCAGAGCGCAACATACGCACCCCAAGCGCAACCAAGCGGCTCGCGGCGCAAAGGCGGGAAGCGAGGCTGCAGCAGCCTTGAGCTCGCACCCAGGGGCCAGAGGTAAGTCGGGCGTGTCCCTCTGCAGGAAGAATTGTCAAGAATAGTCAAACAATAGTCCTGGGATGATTTTCGACCATTTGTGGCGATTATTGCATATTTTTTGACTGTTTTCGATTTTTCTTCCAAGATCCGCCCGTAGGAGGACATGCCCGACCTGCGGCTGGAGCTCGGAGATGGCAAGCATGACCGACAGCCCCACCAGCCCTTCAAATCCCCCCCAGCCCCCGGCTTCACCCCCTCCCGGAAGACCTCCCTCCCCCTCCTCTTCCTCCCTCCCCGTGCTGCGCGCGCGCGCGCGCCAAGGAGTCCAAGGACCTCGACAAGGCCACGGCGGAGGCCACGTCGGACCGCTCCGGCGTCCAGACGGAGCTGGCCGCCGTCAACAAGCGCCCTTGCGCACGGCCCCAGCATTATCTTTTCTGAGATTCTCACAGGTTTCGAACGGATGGAAGAGGCGGCCTCTTTGGGGCCTCCTGGGGGATGTTTGGGGCCTTCTGGGGGCTTCCTCTTGGCCCCTTGCAGGCCTCTTGGGGCCTCTCAGGGGCTTCTTGGGGGCTTCTGGGAGGCCTCTAAATGGCCTCTTGGCCTTTCGATGCCGTCTTTGGCCTCTCTGGGCCATTTTGGTTGGGGCCTTGTTTGGGCGCATTAGGGCAGTGTTGGAGGTCTGACGAGCCGTCTCAGTGCCCTTCTGGGGCCGTTTTGGGGGCTTTTTGGGCCGTCTTGGGGCCCTCTTTAGGGCTTGTGTGGCCGTCTTGAGGCTACTTTGGGGACCCTGGAGTCGTCTTCGGCTGTCGGAAGCCCGAAAAGGCGAGACCGCGAAAACCATTGAATCATATGATGAAGCAACAGGATTTTGGCCTCATGGAGGGCGTCTTGACCTCTTGGTCCGACTAACTGTCATCCTGAGTTGTCTTGGAGTCCTATTGGGCCCTTGGTGGCATATTAGGTCCTCTTGGTGCCATCTTAGCCGTCTTGGAGGCGTCTTGCACCGTCTTGGATGCCATCTTGGATGGGAAAGGCGATGGAGACCGGTTTATGAACGCTTATGAGTGGCTGGTGGTTTGAGTCGAGATCCCACTGGCAACCTTGTGCAAGGGTTCAACCTTGGATTGCCAACAACCCTTCTTGCAAGCATCAGGAGGCGCTGGATATAATGACCTTCGGCTCATCCCGCCACCCTTCTGGGTTGTGGACTATAGACCTCGTGGATGCCTGTTGGTGTCCTTTGGGGATGCCTCTCGGAGGCGTCGTGAGGGAGCCCTTGAGGCCTCCTGGGGGCCTCTGGGAGACCGCTTGGAGGTCTCTTGAGGGCCACTTTGGGGCGTCTTGGCTGCTGCTGGTTTGCTCGTCGGGGAATGTGGCGTGTGTTAGATGCTATCTCGGAGGGACAGGCTCCCGAGGCCCCGTCGCTTTCCCCCTCGTGGGCCCCGCTCGGGCTCCTCTCAGGAGGTCTCTTGGGCTGCCTTGGGGGCCTCTTGGGGGCCTCCAGGGCCGTGCCGGTACGATCTTGGGGGCCTCTTGGGCCGTCACGAGCCGTCCTGGGGCAGTGGAAGCCCGGAAAGGGGAAGGCGCTAAGGTCTTTCGAACGTCACAGGGGGATCAAGGACGTCTGCCTCTTGGGGCCCTCTTGGAGGTCAACTTGGATCCCACTTGGGGCGTTTCCACGCACCGTCTTCAGGCTATCCAGAGCCGTCTCGGGAAGTTTTCTGGCCGTCTCGGGACCTCTTGGAACGTCCTGGCGGCCTCTTGGGGCCTCTGGAACTCAGGAGAAAAAGTCGTGCGGCACACCCCCAGAGGCCTGCGGAACACCGCAAGATGCATTCGACGAGCCCCGGGGGACTGGAGGCTTTGGGCCCCTTGCAGTATCTGCAGCATTTTCCATACGGAGGACTCCCAGGGGCCCGGTGGCACGCCACTCGCTGTCTCGCGGCTCGGGCACGCATGTGTGCCCGCGTGTGTGTGTGTGTGTGTGTGTGTTTGTGTGTGTGTGTGTGTGAAAGCATTGCATGCGCATACATATACCTATACGACCACCCTTCGGGTGATAAGGAGGTGAGGTGGGGGGGGGGAAGGGACCAACGTCGCACTCGATCGATCTTACTATCGAACTCACTACCGATCTCACAATCGATCGATCTCACAATCGATCTGACTATCGATCTCACGATCTCACATTCGGTCTCGCTATTGATCTCACAATCGATCTCACAATCGATCTCACAATCGATCTCATATTCGATCTGACTAGTTATTGATCTAACTATCGAACTCACTTTGGATCTCATCACTATCGATATCACAACCGATATCACAATCGATCTCACATTCGGTCTCACCATCGATCTCACTATCGAACTCACTATCGATCTCATCATCAATCTCAATCGATCGATCTCACAATCGATCTGACGATCGATCTCACAATCGATCTCACTACCAATACCACTATCGATCTCACAATCGATCTCACAATCGATCTGACATTCGGTCTCACGCTCGATCTCACAATCGATATCACAATCGATCTCACTATCGATCTCACATTCGACCTCACTATCGATCTCGCTATCGATCATCAAAATAAAACACCAACATCATCATCACCATCATCATCAACAACATTAACATCAACATCATCATCATCATCATCATCATCATCATCCTCATCATCATCCTCATCCTCATCCTCATCATCATCATCATCATCATCATCATCATCATCATCATCATCATCATCATCATCATCATCATCATCATCATCATCATCATCATCATCATCATCATCGGGTCACCGACGGGACACCGGCGGGACACCAGCGGGACACCGCGGGCCCCGGCCGCCCGGAAGGGAGTCATTTGGTCCGGCCGCGCCTCAGCCACACGGGACACCAGCGGGACACCGGCGGGACACCGCGGGCCCCCGCCGCCCGGAAGGGAGACATTTGGTCCGGCCGCGCCTCAGCCACAGGAGACTTTCTCTCGCCCGCCCACGCAGCTTCGCCTCGCCCGCACGGCACGCACGAACACGAAACCGAAATCGATTTCCCGGTAGGGGGGCTCTCCGTTCCACTTCGATGTCACCCCTTCACCTCCGATATATATATATATATATATATATATATATATACATATGTATATATGTATATATTCCCCAATCAGAGCTTGCCTCTGTAGGGGTCCTAGCGGATTCATATGGTTAGGTTAGGTTTGCCGCCGATTTTCGCCGCACGCCTAGTTGCCCGGAGGTGCCCGGGTGCCCTGGTGCCCGGGTGCCCGGGTGCTCGGGCGTGCCTGGGGGTGCCCGGGTACCCGGGGTGCCCTATAGCCCTATAGCCCTATAGCCCTATAGCCCTATAGCCTTATAGCCCTACAGCCCTATAGCCCCTATAGCCATATAGCCCAATAGCCCATATAGCGCCCAAGAGCCCATATAGCCCTGTAACCCTATAGTCCTACAGCCCTAAAAAGATTATGATTGGGGTTCTTCTCCGGTATCACATACATATGTATATATACACACATATATTTGAGGCGTTTCACATGGGGCCTTGTCTTCGGGGATTGAAGGAGTTGTCATCCCTTCCGCGGCGGAAGGCGGCGGAAGGTCGCCGGAAGTACAACGGGGCCGCCTCCGCTGGTGGAAGCTGGCAGAAGGTTGGCGGACGGTGGCGGAAGTAAAACATGCGCGCCCAAGAGATGAAAACGTCGTTGGTTTCAGGGTTTCCGAAATCGTCCATCTGTAGATATGCGTGTGCGTGCGTGAATATGCATACGCAGACGTATGGGCATATCGTTTCGTCTGGCTCTTTGGAGAGGAAGAGCATGAGGATGAGCAGCTGATGTGGACAGGGGCCCATATTTTTTGGTTTAGCATAAGTTTACATGGAAGCTCGAAAAAGTGACTGGGACCAGCCCTTCCACTCTTTCCAGCCCTGGCCAGTCTCCCTTGATTTTTTCCAGCCCTGGCGACCGCATCCCCACTGTGTCGGGCTCGCTTCACCCCGTGCCAGAGTTTCCAGCCCTGGCCACTTCCAACTTCCACTCTTTCAGAGAGGCCGCGGCTTGGCTGTCTCTGGACTGCCGCTGCTGCCTCCGCGGCTCCAGCCTCCGCTCGGGGCCCCCTTCTGGCTGCTCTGCGGGCCCCGTGCGGCCGCAGGGGTCGACGACGACGACAACGACGACGACGACGACGACGACGACGACGACGACGACGACGACGACGACGACGACGTCCTGCGACACGGGTCCCCTGGGTCCCCCTGGGGATGGGACCGAGAGTTGCGGGGCCTCACCGACGGAAGACACCAGGGCGTCGGAGGTCCATGGTCTCTTGCCCGTCGTCGTCGTCGTCGTCGGCGTAGGCTGGTCGTCGTCGTCGACGTCGTCGTCGTCGTTGTCGTCGTCGTTGTCGTCGTCGTTGTCGTCGTCGTCGTCGTCGGCGTCGTCGTCGTTGTCGTCGCCGGCGTCGTCGTCGTCGTCGTCGTCTCCGGCCTCCGTTCGGTGACCCCTTCTGGCCTCCCGAGGGACGACCTGCGATGCGGGTCCCTCTGGGTTCCCCCTGGGGATGGGGCCGAGAGTTGCGGGGCCCCACCGACGGCAGACACCGGGGCGTCGGAGGTGCAGGGCCTCTCGCCCATCGTCGTCGTCGTCGTCGTCGTTGCCTCCGCGTGGGACCGGGCCGTCTCCGCGCGAGGTACTTGGAGTCGCTGCACGCCCAGTGCGACGAGTCGGTGGACAGCTACGAGGAGAGGGGGGGGAGGGAGGAGGAGCGAGGAGGGGGAGGAGCAGGAGGAGGAGGAGGAGGAGGAGAAGGGAGGGGGAGTAGGAGGAGGAGGAGGAGGAGGAGGAGGAGGAGGAGGAGGAGGACAAGGACCAGTGTAAACCCAAGAGTCATCAACGATGTTGGAATAAACCATCCCTCCAAGCTCCGTCTTCATAGGCCCCTACAACAGTTCATTTCCATTGATGGAACTGCATTGTTGGACGACAACTCTTTGAAGACCATGAAGCATGCCAAAACATGGTTCTCGGGATTCCAACGCCACGGATCATCCTGATTGTTGCGTCTTGACGAGCCTGAATCGTGCCAGAACGCCGCTTCTGGGATTTCAACACTGCAAATCAACGTGACTGTTGCACCTGCGTGCGTAGTATTGAATCCTTTCAGAACATTTCTGGTACGTTGACCGTGGGAATCCGGTTATATACGAATGCGCGCGGCACTAAGGCGAAAGCCACATTTTCAAAAGGAACCGCCCTCAAGCCGTGAAACTCTTGCAAACTTTTCGAACGAGTGTGCGCGGCGCTAAGGCGAGAGCCACATTTGAAAACGACTCGCCCTCAATCCGTGAAATTCTTGCAACTTTTTACAGTGAATGTGCGCGGCGCTAAGGCGAGAGCCACATTTTGAAAACGACCCGCCCTCCATTTGTGAAACTGTTGCCAATTTTCAAGCTTCTGATATAAAAATGGTGAGCAAGTCTCAGGCGAAACCCAAGGCCCGCCCTAAAAACTGGCCTCGGGGTGCGACAGGGAGAAGTTATTTATAAGGGCGAGGAATGGAGGAGGAGGAGAAGGAGGAGGATCACGGAGGAGAGGGAGGCGGAGAAGAGGAAGGCGGGGGAGCAGTGGAGGAGCAGGAGCTGGGGAAGAGGCGGGTGAGGAGGATGGGGAGCAGGACCAGAAGGCGGGGGGTGTTGGGGGTGGACGGCAATGATGATGATGATGATGATGGTGATGATGATGTTGTTGATGATGGCGATGACGATGCTACCGCTGCTGATGATGATGATGGCGATGATGATGATGCTGTAAGTGATGATGCTGATGCGGATGATGAGGATGATAATGCTGCTGCTGATGATGGTGATAACGATGAGGCTGATGATGATGATGATGATTCCATGACGATGACGATGCTGATGCTGATGCCGATGCTGCTGCTGATGATGATGATGATGATGATGATGATTCGCTGCTGCTGTTAATGATGATGCTGATGAAGATGATGAAGATGATGTTGATGATGATGATGATGCTGATTATTATGATGATGGTGATGGTGATGATGATGCTGACGATGCGAATGATGACGGTGACGAAATCGAATGCGACGATGATGCTGATGATGATGATGGTGCTATCGCTGAGAGTGTTGATGATCATGACGATGGTGACGATGACGACGATGATTATTTTGACGTTTATGATTGTCACAACGAGGATCATGATGCTGGTGATTACGGTGATGATGCTGAGGATGGTGGTTGTGGTGGTGGTGTGATTGTGATCATGGTTGTGATGATGATAGTGATGATGATGATGACGATCACGCTCATTCTGATGATGACGATGTTGATGACGATGGGATGATGGTGGTGATGACGATGCTGATGATGATGCTGATGCTGAGGCTGATGCTGCTGATGATGACGATGGTGATGGTGATGGTGATGGTGATGATGATGATGATGATGCTGATGCTGATGATGATGATGATGATGATGATGATGATGATGATGATGATGATGATGATTATGATGATGCTCCAGATGATGCTCCTGATGATGATGATGCTGCTGCTGCTGATGATGATGATACTGATGATGGTGACGACAACGATGACGATGCTTATGATGGTGGTGAGGATGATTATTACGATGCTGCTCATCATGACTAGTATTCGGATTATCCACGGGGCTTCGCTACACCACTTTTAGGCTTACAAAGTGGCGGGGTCACTGTCGGGCATTGCCATGAGCGAAGGGTTTCTGGCAATCACGAGATGGACTACATTCTATTGATGCTGGCCCTTTCCTCGCTAGTTCGGTGTCGTTCTCAGATCGTGGCTTCATTGGAAGGATTCTGGGGCGCTGCGGTCAAGGTGCGGCGCACATACGTGTGAAAGACAAAAAGGGATACGTTGCTGACGGTGCCCTGAGATGCCAGGCGCCCAAAGCGTTATTCACGACCTGAGTCAGCAACAGTGTTGTCAGTGGATGCCTGGCGGGCGACGTAGGAGAAGAGTTGCTGACCTGATTGACCGAAATAGTACACTTTGTCCACAGCCGAGTCCTCCTCTTCCTGCTTCCTCGCGCCTTCTCTTCCCTCTCGGTGGGTCTGAGCGCGCACTGAGTCATCCCATCAGCAGAAATGTGCGAAAGGTTCTCCTACGACTCCTCCTCTCCCGCTTCTCCCCGCTCCATTTGGAAGGCGTGCTGGGGACTTCTTGGGGGCTGGTCTGTGGCTTCTTTGGAAGATGTTAATGCTTTGGAGGCCTTTTTATGGGCATCTTGGGGCTTTTTCCTGGGGTCTTGGGGGCCTGAAGGGCCTCTTCGCGGCTTCGTGGTGGCATGTTGGGGGCCTCGGAGACTATCTTGGAGGGAAAAGCTTTCAACGCTAGTTCCAGTTCTCCAACGTGGGCCCCTCTTGGGGCCGTCTTGGGGGCCTCTTGGGCCGTCTTGGAGGCGTTTTAGGCCGTCGTGGGGCCCTCTTGGGCCATCATTGGGCGTTGTTTGAGGCTTCTTGGGTCGTCCTGGAACGAGTATGGGGCTTCTTGGGCCGCCACATGCTTGCGATTTTGCAGAAATCATGGAACAACTTCTTAGGGGATTCATGGATTTTTGCTTCTGGGGAGCCTCGTGGGCGTCCTCTTGGAAGTCTCTTGGGGGCGCCTTGGGACACCTGGAAACCATCTTGGGCCGTCTTGGGGTCCTACTGTTTGTTTGTTGGATCGTTCGCGGCCGTGTGGGGGCAGAAGGTTATTTCGGAACCATCCGGAAGTTCAGTGATCCTCTGGGACCCCAAGTAGAACAGTTCCTCTGGGGAGGGGGGGCGGTTGGCAGCACGGCGAGGCAAGGGGCGCTGTTTAGGGGAAGAATAGCATGCTTGAAGTATGTCAGTCGTAATGGATGATGCTTCGTAGTCCGGACGTTTTTTCGGACGTCCCCTTCCTGGTTGCCTGTATAGCTGGTTCACGGCTTAGTCGTACACAGTTTTATGGTGTCAGTGTGGGCGCGTAATTTTTAGACTGGTTCAGGGCTGGGATGTGTATGAGGAGGAAGCGTTGGGAAGGGGTGCGAGGAGGAGATGAAGCAACAAGGTGGAAGGCTTGCCATGTCCGTGTGTGTGTGTGTGTGTGTGTGTGCGTGCCTTTTTTCGGGCTTTGCCGGGCATGGCTTGACATATTCATGGCTGGGCCGTGTACGTCATGTTTGGCTCAGTGAAGGTGTCGTGTAAGTTTGACCGTGTCTGGTTTTGTCGCGTGCATCTTGTGCAGGACTGGGTCAAGCACTTCGTGGTTATGCCAAGGTTAGTGATGCGTTTTAGCCGTCTTTCTGGTCGCAACAATACGTGATGTCATCTAGAAAGGGTTGTGACCTCGGGAGCACGCGCGCGTCGGAATTTATAAGAGATTATGGCTTTGGGAGCGCGCCTCAGGTGTAATTCAGTATGGACTGTGGCTGCGGGAACGCACGTTCTCTTTGTATTTCACAGGGGGTTGGCTCGTGAGCGCGCGCTCCTGGTAGTGTACGAAGAATTGCGGCCGTGGGTGAGCGAACATGTTGTAGTCTTACGCGTTCGAGGATGCACATATTGGCAGGGCACGTGGTCTGGTGTTGGTTTGACGCATTTGAGGCAAATCGGGGTCGCGCGGTCTCCACACCTGTTCAGCTTCGGAACGAGGAACCAGGATCTGTAAGTCTGAAGCCTTGGAACTTTGGAGGCTAGGATTGGCACCGTAACCGAGGAGCTGAGGACCGATACCTGCGTGCTCGTGGCCTTGTCCTAGCAGCCTGGTGGTGTTGTTGATGTTCGTGGTGAAGATGATGTTGGTGGTGATGATGGTTGGTTGGTGTTGGTGATAATGGTGGTGGTGGCGATGGTGGTGGGGATGGTGGTTGGTGTTGGCGATCTGGAAATTGGTGGCGATGGTGATGATGATCGTGATGATGCTGATGCTGCTGATGATGATGGTATTGTTGATGCTGATGATGATGATGATGATGATGATGATGATGATGATGATGATGATGATGATGATCACGATCATGATGAAGGTGGTGGTCGGCATTATGTTGGTTGGTCTTAATGCTGTTGGTGGTGGTGGTGGTTTTGATAATGGTAGTAGTAACGATAATTCTGATGGTGCTGATAATGATGATTATGCTGATGAGGATGATCGCCATTATGATCATGATGATGCTGCTGCTGATGATGATGATGATACTGATGATGCTGATGCTGATTCTGATGATGATGCTGATGATGCTGATAATGATGATGATGGTCGTGGTGATGATTATGATGATGACGATGGCGACTATGATGATGATGATGATGATGATGATGATGATGATGATGATCATGATGATGACGATGATGCTGATGATGATGCTGATGATGATGCTAATGCTGATGCTGATGATGCTGATGATGCTGCTGCTGCTGCTGATGATGATGATGATGATGAGGATGAGGATGAGGATGATGGCGATGCTGCTGATGATGTTGATTATGATGATGCTGGTGGTGGTGGTGATGATGATGATGCTGATGTTGATGCTGATGCTGAAGCTGATGCTGATGCTGCTGCTGCTGATGATTCTTATGATGATGGATGATGATGATGATGATGATGATGATGATGATGATGATGATGATGATGATGCTGCTGATGCTGATGCTGATGCTGATGATGGATGATGATGATGACGACGATGATGATGATGATGATGATGATGATGATGGTGGTGGTGGTGGTGGTGGTGATGATGATGATGATGATGGTCAGACGCTGCATGCATCGCCCAGAGTCGGTACAGCGCGTCCGCGCGCGCGCTGAGGAGCAGGTCCGCCGCCGCACCGCCGAGTTGGCTGGCCTGAAGCAAGCGCTCACCATCCTGGAAGGCGGCTCGTCGTCGTCGTCGGCGTCGTCGTTGTCGTTACTTGTGTCTGTCCCTCCCGTCCCGCCCACCTGGCCAGCCTTCCAACCCCTCTCTCCGTCCTCGTTCATCTTTGCTCCTTTCCTCTCATCCTCCTCCCTTCTCCCCCAATCTCCAGGAACATCCAGCAGCGCCCGCCTCTGGCCATCTGTGCGCCTCGCGCCACACCTGGGGCCTCTTTTGTGTTTGGCGCCGCCCACCATCTCTATGCCTGTCAGCGACCCCCATGCGGGAGATAATGCCCGAGTGAATGACTGCGAAGCTGCCAACGTACCGAGCAACTCGAGCCACTGGGGCAGCAGACATGCTTAGGGCTGCTGTCTGCGGCCTTGTGGTCCAAACCTCACTCCTCCTCTTTTTTTAATATGTTGTTTTGTTGTTTGTTTTGTTTGTTAGTTTGTTTGTTTGGTTGTTTGTTTGTTTGTTTGTTTGTTTGTTTGTTTGTTTGTTTAATTTGGTTGAACCATATACATATACATTTAACCTCGCTCCCTCTTTCCTTCTCCTCCCTCCTCCCCCCCCGGAGGCTCGTGGAGGCTTCCCGGAGGCACCTGGGGGCTCCCGGAGGCCAGACAATGGCCAAGGACGTCCAAAGCTCCCTCCCCTCCCGTCCAGAGGTCTCGAGAGGGCTTCGGTGGTCCGATGAGGGCCGGGAGCGCCCAGGAGGCCTCGATCATCGATTCCTCTCTTGAGCGACCTGCGCTCGCGCGCCAGGAGGAGAAGGAGGAGAGAGGAGGTTCGGATGTTTCTGTCTGCTGGTGTGTGTGTGTGTGTGGAATGGAGGAGTGAGGAGGGAGATGGAGGAGGGGACGAGAAGGAGGAGGAGGAGGAAGAGGAGGAGGAGAAGGAGGGAGATGGAGGACGGGACGAGGAGAAGAAGCAGGAGGAGGAGGAGGAGGAGGAGGAGAAGGACGAGGAGGAGGAAGTAGATGAAGGGGGGACGATGATGATGATGATGATGATGATGATGATGATGATGATGATGATGATGATGATGATGATGATGATGATGATGATGATGATGATGATGATGATGATGATGATGATGATGATGATGATGAGAGGAGGAGGAGGAGGAGGAGGAGGAGGGAGGAGGAGGAGGAAGAGGAGGAGATGGAGGAGGAGGCGGTGGAGTAGGAGGAGGAGTAGGAGTAGGAGTAGGAGTAGGAGGAGGAGGAGGAGGAGGAGAGGAGGAGGAGGAGGAGGAGGAGGAGGAGGAGTTTTGGAGGAGGAGGAAGAGGAGGAGGCGGTGGAGGAGGAGGAGGAGGAGGAGGAGGAGGAGGAGGAGGAGGAGGAGGAGGAGGAGTTGGAGGAGGAGGAGGAGGAGGAGGAGGAGGAGGAGGAGGACAAGTGTAAACCCAAGAGTCACCAACGATGTTTGAATAAACCCTCCCCCTATGCTCCCTCTTCATAGGCCCCTACAATGGTTCATTTCCACAGAGGGACCTGCCTCGCTTGAAGACAACCGTTTGAAAACCCTGAAGCAAGCCAAAACATTATTTTCGGTATTCCAACGCCACGGATGAACCTGATTGTTGCGTCGTGACGATCCTGAATCGTGCCAGAACGCCCTTCTTGGGACCTCAACTCCGCGAATCATCCTAACAGATGCGCCCTCAAGATCGTGAATCCTTCCAAAGCACCATTTCTGGTACGTCGATCATCGGTCTCCGTGAAACCCTTACAATTTGTATCCAGAATGTGTGCGGCGCTAAGGGGGGAGCCACATTTTGAAAACCACCCGCCCTCAATCCGTGGAGCTCTTGCAAATGTTTAAAAGGAATGTGCGCGGCGCTAAGGCGAGAGCCACATTTTGAAAACCACCCGCCGTCAATCCGTGGAACTCTTGCACATGTTTGAAACGGATGTGCGCGGTGCTAACGCGAGAGCCACATCTTGAAAACCACCCGCCGTCAATCCGTAGATTTCTCGCACATGTTTAAAACTAATGTTCGCGGCGCTAAGGCGAGAGCCACATTTTGAAAAAGACCCGCTCTCAATCCGTGGAACTATTTGCAAATGTTAAAAAGGAGTGTGCGCGGCGCTAAGGCGAGAGCCACATTTTGAAAACCACCCGCCGTCAATCCGTGGAACTCTTGCACATGTTTGAAACGGATGTGCGCGGTGCTAACGCGAGAGCCACATTTTGAAAACCACACGCCGTCAATCCGTAGATTTCTCGCACATGTTTAAAACTAATGTTCGCGGCGCTAAGGCGAGAGCCACATTTTGAAAAGACCCGCTCTCAATCCGTGGAACTCTTTGCAAATGTTAAAAAGGAAGGTGCGCGGCGCTAAGGCGAGAGCCACATTTTGAAAACCACCCGCCGTCAATCCGTGGAACTCTTGCACATGTTTGAAACGGATGTGCGCGGTGCTAACGCGAGAGCCACATTTTGAAAACCACACGCCGTCAATCCGTAGATTTCTCGCACATGTTTAAAACTAATGTTCGCGGCGCTAAGGCGAGAGCCACATTTTGAAAAGACCCGCTCTCAATCCGTGGAACTCTTTGCAAATGTTAAAAAGGAATGTGCGCGTCGCTAAGGCGAGAGCCACTTTTTGAAAACCACCCGCCCTCAATCCGTGGAGCTCTTTGCAAAAGGAATGTGCGCGGCGCTAACGCGAGAGCCACATTTTGAAAACGCCCCGCCCTCGATCCGTGGAGCTCTTCTAAATTCTGAGAACGGATGTGCGCGGCGCCAAGGCGAGAGCTGCAATTTGAAAACCACCCGCCCTTCATCTGTGAAGCTGTTGCCAATTTTTAAGCTTCAGGGCCATAAATGGTGAGGAAATCTCAGGCGAAACGCCCGGCCCGCTCTACAAACTGGCCTCGGGGTGCGACAGGGAGGAGTTTCTCATAAGGAGAAGGAATGGAGGACCAGGAGGAGGAGGAGGAGGAGGAGGAGGAGGAGGATGAGGAGGAGGAGGGAGATGGAGGACGGGACGGGAAGAAGAAGCAGGAGGAGGAGGAGGCGGAGGAGGAGACGAGAAGGAGGAGGAGGAGGAGGAGGAGGAGGATGAGGAGGGGGAGGGAGATGAAGGAGGGGACGAGGGGAGAGGAGGAGGACGAGGAGGAGGAGGAGTAGGAGGCGGAGCAGGAGAGGAGGAGGAGGAGGGAGATGCAGGACGGGACGAGGAGAAGAAGCAGGAGAGGCGGAAGGAGGAGGAGGAGGAGGAGGAGGAGGGAGATGGAGGAGGGGACGAGGAGGAGGAGGAGGACGAGGAGCAGGAGGAGGAGGAGGAGGCGTAGCAGGAGGAGGAGGAGGAGGGAGATGGAGGTGGGGACGAGGAGGAGGAGGAGGAGGAGGAGGAGGAGGAGGAGATGGAGGAGGAGGAGGAGAAGGAGAGGAGGAGGAGGAGGAGGAAGAGGAGGAGAAGGAGGCCCCAACCGCCCGATCACCCTGGGCCCTGGGTCCTTCACCCTCCTTCAAGATCCGACGCTCTGCGGACAGATGCAAACAACCGCCTCGCGAAGAGTCATGACCAGAGCTTTGGACCCCAGCTTTCTGCGGCATGTTTCGAGCCGGGCGGAGAGACCCCACGAGGCATCCCCCAGGACCCTGGTCCACGTCAGCGTCGTCGTCGTCGTCGTCGTCGTCGCCGTTGTCGTCTCCCTTCAGGGGCGGCGGCGCTGGCCGTGAGGCCCTCGCAATCACGACCAGAACCTTGGACCCCACTTTTGTGGTATTTCCGAGCTGGTCCAATCTGTGATGGCCTGGGGTCGACTAAGAGTGACCTTTCGCCGGAGTGCCCTTTGGAGCGGGCCTACGGGGGTCCTTCGATCGCCGAGTGCGATGCGATAGTTGCGTCTTGCGCGCTTGGGTTTGGGCCCTACCCCCCCCCCGCGGCTCCCCGAAAGCCGCGCAACAAAGGTCACTCTTGCCCAGGGTCACTCTTGCGTGTAGTCGATGGGGGCCCCAAACCCAGCGAAAACGCCTGGGTCGAACAAAATTGCAGCGCCAGGATCTCGTGTCGGCACGATCGGAATTCTAGACGCTTCGCGTATCCCCACCAGCCCGTCCAGAAACGACGCCCAGGCGAGTAGAGGGTCGTCCTGAGGGGCTTTTCGGCGTCTTGGGTTCCTCGGGGGGGCCCCTGTGGGCCGTTCGGGATCCTCTTTGGGGCCTCCTGGGGGCCTCTTGGGGCCTCTTGGGGCCATCTTGGGGCCTTTGGGGGCCTCCTGGGCGCTTCTTGGGGCCTCCTGGGCGCTTCTTGGGTGCCTCTGGGGGGTCTCTTGGGGCCTCTTGGGGGTCTCTTGGGGGCCTCCTGGGGGCCTCTTGGGGGGCCTCGGAGCCATCTTGGAGGAGATCGATCAACGAAGGGGGGTTCCCTAGTTACAGTCCCCCCCTCAGGAGCCACGATCCTCGTGAGGGGTGTCGAATTTTAGCCCTCCCAGGGGTCGATCTTGGGCGCTCCAGCGCGCCGCGGAACCCCCTGTCCAGGTCAGTGGTGAGGGGGTAGAGGGAGGGGTAAACCCCTCCCCGAAGGGGAAGAAGGAGGGGTGGAAGAGGAAACGCTCTAAACCACCGACGCCCAGAGGGCTGGTGGGATTCTTCATGCTTCGCCTATCCCCACCAGCCTATCAGAGACACATATAGTGAAACAGTGGGCAACCAGAGTGAACAGAGAGATCTCTGGAGCAAGGGGTTGGCCTTGGAGGGCCTCTTCGGGCCATCCCGGCCCGCGTGGGGGCGAGGGAAGGAGGAGGAGGAGGAGGAGGAGGAGGAGGAGGATGAGGAGGAGGAGGAGGAGGCCCAGTGTAAACCCAAGAGCCACCAACGATTTTGGAATACTCCCTCCCTCCAAGCTCCCTCTTCATAGGCCCCTACAACGGTTCATTTCCATTGATGGATCTGCCTCGTTGGAAGACAACCGTTTGAAGACCGGGAAGCACAACGTAATTGTTGCATCCACAAAATCCTGAATCTCTACAAAACACCATTTCTGGTACGTTGATCGTGGGAATCCGTGAAACTCTTGCAAATTTTCTGATTTAATATGCGCGGCGCGAAGGCAAGAGCCACATGTTGAAAAGGAACCGTCCTCAATCCGTAAAGCTCTTGCAATTTTTTAGAAGGAATGTGCGCGGCGCTAATGCGAGAGCCACATTTTTAAAACCACCCGCCGTCAACTCGTGGAACTCTGGCAAGTTTTTAAAACGAATGTGCGCGGCGCTAAGGGGGGAGCCACATTTTGAAAACGACCCGCCCTCAATCCGTGGAACTCTTTGCAAATGTTAAAAAAAGGAACGTGCGTGGCGCTAACGCGAGAGCCACATTATGAAAGCGGGTTATCCCCAATCCGTGAAGCTCTTGCAGTTTTTTAGAACGAATGTGTGCGGCGCTAAGGCGCGAGCCACGTTTTGACAACCACTCGCCCTGCATCTGTGAAGCTGTTGCCAATTTTTAAACTTCAGTGTCATAGAGTGTGAGGAGGTCTCAGGCGAAACGCCCGGCCCGCCCTCAAACTGGCCTCGGGGTGCGACAGGGAGAAGTTATTATAAGGAAATGAAAGTGAGGAAGACGACGACGATGACCACGACGACGACGATGACGAGGAAGAGGAGGAAAAGGAACGGGACGACAATGAGGGCAAGGGCGAGGATGAGGACGATGAGGAGGAGGAGGACGAGGAGGAGGAGGAGGAGGAGGAGGAGGAGGAGGAGGAGGAGGAGGAGGAGGAGGAGGACAACGAGGACGATGACAGAGCCCCCCAAATCGCCTCTTGGAGCTCTCTTGGGGGACTTTCGGAGGGTCTGGGGATCCTCGTGGGGCTCTTTCGGGGGTCTTGGGGCCCTCTTGAGGCCCTCTTGGGGCTTTCTTGGGAGCCTTGGAGGGCCTCTTGGGGCTCGTGGAGGGCGGAGATGGGTTCTAACGTTTGGCCCTCCCCCTCTGGGGCCTTCTAAATCGCCCTTGTGGTCCTCTTGGGGCGCTCTTGGGGCGATCTTGGGCGCTCTTGGGGCCGTCTGGGGCCTCTGGGGCCCATCTTGGCGCTCTCTTGGGCCATCCTGGGGCCATTTTCAGGCATCAGAAGCGCATCGGAAGCGGAAATGCGAGAAGACGAACATCATTTGCTTGCCTTAGGTTTTTGACGGAATTTTGTCTCTTTGGGGGGCTCGGGAGGGCTCCGAGAGCGCTTGTAGCTGTCTTGCGGCCCTCGTCGGGCCTCTCGGAGAAATGTCGGGAGCTACCTTGAACTATCTTCGGCCATCTTGAGCCGCCTTGAAGGCCATCTCGGAGCATATGAGGCCCTTTTGGAGCCATCTTGGGCGACAGAAAACCTTGACACATCGTGACTCCCCCCAAAACCTCAGGGAGGGGAGGGGGAGGGTACCCCTCCCCGAAGGGAACAGGGATTTGGAAGTGGAAATGCAGACATCTTTAGACCACCTTAGCCCAAAGGCTGGTGGGATTGGTACGGGAACATGGGGACGGAAACCGACAGCAGTTCCTGTTCATTTTGAACAGCGCTCGCTGTCGGCGTCGCCACGGATGTCCGTTTGAGGCAGAAGGGCGTTTGTCCAACAGCGGCCGCTGTCGATTATGGACGACATTAGCTGTTGGTTTTCGTGCCCTTTTTTCCGTACAGTCGGCCCGTATCATAAGGATGCGCACTAAGGATGCAAGGGCCTTGGGCGCCCATTTCGAAGCTTTTCGAGCGGGGCGCGGCCGACGAATGTGGCCAAGGATGGACCGAGGAGGCAAGGATCTAAGGGCACCCTTGAGAAGGTTGCCCATCCTCATCGTGCGGGTGGACTGTACCCGTTTCGGGCGTCCAAGTCGGGGCTCGATCTCCCCCCCCTCGACTCCTCGAGCCGTGGCGCCGCTGCTCCTCGCTTAATCCTCGGGCGACGAAATCTATACATATCCACTGCTCCCTGACCATGCCCATCTTGAACCCAGGAGCTGTGTATGCGCCCTCCTGGCCAAGCCAGGAGGGCGTGGCGTATACACCGCTGCGGGGTTGAGGATGGGCCTGGCCTGGGAGCAGTGGATATGTATAGATTTCGTCGCCCTATAATCCTCGAGCCCTCGAGCCCTCGAGCCCTCGAGCCCGAGCCCTCGACCCTCGACCCCCCCCTCTCGACCCTCGAGCCCTCGAGCCCTCGAGCCCTCGAGCCCTCGAGCCCTCGAGCCCTCGAGCCCTCGCGAGCCCTCGAGCCCTCGACCCCCCCCCCCTCTCGACCCCCTCGACCCTCGACCCTCGACCCCGCTGGCGCCGCCACTCCTCGCCCGATCCTCGACCTCCCTCGATCTCCCCCGGCCCTCGGCCCTCGACTCCTGGGAACCTGTGATGACATAAACAGGGGAGGCAGGGAGGGAGGGAGGGAGGGAGGGAGGGAGGGAGGGAGGGAGGGAGGGAGGGAGGAGGAGGAGGAGGAGAGGAGGAGGAGGAGGAGGAGGAGGAGGAGGAGGAGGAGGAGGAGGAGGAGGAGGCCCAGCCGCCAGAAACTTTCGGAAGTCCGCGCGGATTTCTCGGATTCGGCGCTGGCCCCCCTCCTGAGCGCGCCAGGGGCGGCGCCGCAGGCGCTGCCTGGGTGCTCCAGCGCTGATGCGATCAATTTACGCGGGCTTCCGAGAGTTTGTGCTCATGCCATCCTCTGTCCCCTCCCTCGGCCCTCGATGCCCCCCCCCCCCCCCTCGACGCGCTCGACCCTGGACTGCCTCCCCTCGCCGCCCCGCCCTCGCGAGCCAGGCGAGGCCGCGCTCCTGCAGCAGGCGCGCACGCGCGGGGCGAGGGAGGGCCGCGAGGAGGGCCGCGAGGAGGGCCGCGAGGAGGGCCGCGAGCAGGGGCGCGAGGAGGGCCGCGAGGAGGGCCGCGAGGAGGGGCGCGAGGCGGGGCGCGAGGCGGGCAGAGGGCGAGGAGGGGCGCGAGGAGGGCGGAGGATCGAGGGGCAGGGGGGGCATGGCGGGGGGCCCCGCCCGGCGCGGCCCGGCCCCTGGGCGCGCCCGGCCGCCGGGGCCCCTCTGCCGTGCTGGCTGTCGGGAGCCTCGAGACGGGGGTCAATGGAAACGTTACGTCGGGCGTGTCCCTCTACAGGAGGAATGTTCAGAAATAGTCAAAAAATAGTCAGGGGACGATTTTGTTTGACCATTTTAACGTATTTTTGAGTATTTTTTGGTACTTTCTTTCTCTCGTCCAAAATCCGCCTCCTCCTCCTCCTCCTGCTCCTCCTCCTCTCCCTCCTCCTTTTCCTCATCACCATCCTCTTCCCCGGTCCCTATCCTGCGGTCTCTTGGTGTGTTCAGCTCCTGTGGAGGTCCGCGTGGGTAGACTCGGGAAGGGTACCTGGGCGGCGGCGCTGGAGGCGCTGCCTCGGGGGGGGTCCAGCGCCAGACCAAGAACTTTTCTCGCGGACCTCAGTTTGCATGTGGGCCCAATCCCAACCCACTGGGCCCAATCCCAACCAACTGAGACCAATCCCAACCAATGCGAAAAGCAAACTGGGCCCAATCCCAACCATCTTGGGATAGGCCCACAATAGGATTTTAATTGTAGAGAAGCCCAAGACGAGTGCGAAGACCAAGTGACATTCCTTATGTCAACGCACAGGATCTGGAAGCCAACATGCATGCTCGAGTTGGAATTGGTCTCAGT